TCTCAATTGCCAGATAAGCCTAAGTGTCTGACGGGTGTGACCTCTGGTCTACCCTGGTGTTTGTACTGTGGAGTGTGCTATGCAGAAGAATTCCATAATTTAGGTTTAAAATAGAATACTTGATGGAAAGCAGGTGGATTTTCCATGTCTGGTCTGGTAAATAAATTCAACCTGAAGATAGCCACTTGCTAGTCATTTTAAACCTAGTTGGTATTTTATGTCTCATTATCTGAACAGGACAATGAAGATGCATTAGAAAAATAATGTTATGAAAGAGCTGAAGGAGTCCTTTTCAGACTCGCTCTGAGCACTTAAGAAATCATCTGCCATTATAAAAACATCCTAAGTGGTATTATTGAGCACTTGGCAATCCAGATCAGAACAGCTGTAACCCACTGGTGCTACTTATCCTTAAATTTGTAAATAGTTTCTCCTACAGGTCCTTTTCCATTATTGGTGAAGAGCTGCTCCAATCCTTGCCATGCAAGCAAGTACTTCGCAACCAAATTGTTTTGCTGCCAGATAGCATATTAGCTCTACTATGTAACATCTGTCAACTAATTTTAAGATTAGAATTGTTTTAAAGAGAGAAACATTCTTTTTTTGGAGGACTTAGAAAGACAATACAGAAAGAACCTGGTTCTCAGAATTCACTACCGAACTGCTTCTATTCCAGAAGGTGCAGGTTTATCTAATACACTGTATAAGTCAATAGCACTAGATAGCATCTGTTTGAAGTTCCCTTTCTTGCTTGTGCTGACCTAGGTGCCACCATCAGTAAAAATAACAGGAGATCTAACATGCACACAATGCACTCCATTTGGTACCAAAGATTCTTAACAGTAATGTACCTCAACCCTGGATGAGAAGATACAGTTCAAGTCCAAAAGTGGTAGGACTACTTCCTAAACTAACCCTGCCATAATGGAGGTACAAAAGCATTCCTGTTAACCTTGCTGTATCCCTAGCAGACTGGCAGGAATGAAAAGGCAACTCTTAGGTCTTTCTCCACTCAATTTAAAATCTGGTAAAAATCTGAAAAGATAGCCTGCAAGATTTTTATTTCAGTGATACAGAGGTAGAACTATTCAGAAACAAACAAACAAACAAAACCACAAAAAACACACATGAAACTGGTGACCTTTGTCTTGAATTTGTGAGATTCTTGGTCCCCAAATCCATTTGTCTTCTTTCCTCATTAGCATTATAGACATGCCTATTGTATCTTTTTTTGTTTTTTTTTCTTTTTTTTTTCCCAGCTGAAATGATGTAAACATAAGAAATAGTTAAGATTTTGCCAGGAGAACCTACCATCTTTTTCTGGTTAGTATGTGTTATGAGTTGGGCAGTGAATTTCAGTCTCTCTTTAGCCACTCACTGATTTTGATTCTCAATTTGTATTTTAATTCTGTTAGTTGAATGTTTCAATATGCTGATTGTTTTTAGCTTGCAGAATATTTAATAAAAAGAAAACTACCAATAAGCATGTCAAGGAATACTGCAGTCATAAAAAAACACCACTAGTGGCATGGAGAAGGAAATGGAGACTGGAACATTATCATCTTTTTCATCAGTCATAACTTCTTAGCAGAACTGAAACATTTATTTACTTCAGTGCTGCTACAACTAAGAAAAGAGATACTTTCCTTTCTCAGCTTTTGGCTGCACATTCTTGTGCCTGCTGTTAGAGCCAGATAACCCACATGCTGATGCATTTAGAGGTTTTCTATTTGTGTGTGGAAGAATTTTTCCTACAGGAAGTCATCTACAAGACATACTTTTTCTCCTCTCCTCTCCTCTCCTCTCCTCTCCTCTCCTCTCCTCTCCTCTCCTCTCCTCTCCTCTCCTCTCCTCTCCTCTCCTCTCCTCTCCTCTCCTCTCCCCATCCTGTCTCTCCCCTTCTCTCCCCTCCCCTCCCTTCCTTTTCCTTCTCCTCCCTTCTTCTCCATCTCTGAAATCAGAGGGAGGTAGACATCTGTCTTTCAGTCTTACCTTTACTCCTTTCCTTACTCTGACCTTTTATTTGATACACAATTTTGATACACAAAATTCGTGCTCTTACCAGAAATTAGTTGTTGTGAACATTCACAGAATCACAGAACCATCTGAATTGGAAGACACCCCTAAAGGCCACTATCACAGGGTCATCTGCATCTATCTGTGCCTGCAACAGAGACAGCAGTCCCACAGGCACACCGATGTAAAAGGTGACCCAGATGCTAGACCTTGCACGTGGATTTGTTGAACTTCATGAATTTCTTTTGGCCGACAGCTTCAGCCTATCTAAGCCTCTCTGGATGGTATACCATCTCATCTGGGAAGTTCACCACAGCACACAGCTTGCTGTCATTCACAAACTTGCTCAGTGTGCATTTGATTCCACTGTTGTTGTCACTGATAAAGATAATGAAGAGCATCAGTCCCAGTACTGACCTCTGAGGGATTCCACGTCACTGATCTCCATCCACACACTGAATCAGTGACCACCACACTCTGTGAACAATCTTGCAAACAGTTCCTTATCCATCAAACAGCCCACCCATCAAATACATATCTTTCCAACTTGGAGAGAAGGATGCTGTGGAAGATGGTGTCAAAGGCTTTACTGAAGTCCCGACAGATGACATCAGTGGCTCTTGTCCATTGACAGAGTTACTCCATCACACAAGATCACTAGATTGGTCAGGAAGGACTTGCCCTTGGGGAAGCATGCTGGCTGTCCTGTATCAATTCCCTGTCTTCCATGTGCCTTAGCATAGCTTCCAGAAGGATCTGCTCTATGACATGCAACCAGAGGTGAGACTGATGGGTTGGTAGTTTCCTGGGTAATCCTTTCTACATTTTTTTAAAGTGAGAGTGATACTGCCTTTTTTTCCAGTCACCAGGGACTTCACCTGACCACAAATGACCTAGGAAAGAGACCTACTCAGCAGTTACTTGTCATGATTTTATAGTGCACTCTGTGGCATTAGAATTTTGAAATTTAAACACAAATATAGTGAGAATTTGAGACAATCACCACATTATTAACATCAGGTTTCTATATTTTCCTAGATAAAAAGTTCTTCTGTTAATGTCTTCTGACTTTTTTACAGCCAAACTTCAGCTTACTGGGCACAAATTTTGCATTTTGAATGTAGTGATCCAGTTTGAAAATGTTTCTAAGTAGTTTGGATCAGATGAAAATACTGAGTATGACCTGTTTCAGCTCCAGGCAGAAACCATCCAGGGCAACACAGAAAAATGTGATTAGTAAACAGAGGCACATTGGCTGGCCATACAGTATTCACAGGGAGCTAAACCAATAAATAAATCACTAGAGCTTGGAACTTCATCCTTGTATACAGGAAAATCACTTTAGAAACTAGACATATGACCTCTATAGCAACAAACGTTATCTGAGTCACAGAATCACTGAGGCTGGAAGGGACCCTGGGTGGTCTGTGGTCACATCTCCTGCTCAAAGTACAGTCAGGCATGAGATCAGGCCAAATTGGTTAGGGCTCTACCCAGTCAGACCTAGAAAATATCTGAGGATAGAGAGTGCACAATTTTTTCTGGCAACCTGTTCTGCTACTTAGAGCTGTCTGCAGGGGGGAAAAGTTCTTGATATCAATCAAGGATTTCCAGTTTCAGTTCATGCCCTGTATCTCTTGCCCAGCTGCTCTGCACTGCTGCGTGGAGCCCAACTCCACCTCCTCCTTTCTATGGGTACTGGGGGCTGCAATCAAGTGTCCCAGAAGCACTCTCTGCCCCAGTCTGAGAGTCCCAGCCTTAGGACCATAGAATATCCTGAGTTGGAAAAGATCATCCACAGGGATCATCAAATCCCAATCCTGGCTCCACATAGGACCACCCAAAATTCAGTCCCTATGTCTGAAAGCATAGTCCAAATGCTTGAGTTCCAGCAGCATGGGACCTGCCATGTCACCCAAAGGAGAAGGGTTTGAGCTGGAAATGTGTTTGGATGAGGATGCCTAAAGGAAAAGTTGGAAGGGCACCTAATAAGTCATAAGCCTTTGAGACACAGGCATGCATGAAGGGATACTGTCTCCTGGGCAGTGCAGTGGATACACAAACCTGCCCACAGGCTCACTGTTGCATTTGCCACAAAAGATGTGGAGTTTCTAGAAGAAAGCTGGACTGTATATATTAAAGCTACCTAGTTTATACTGCTTCCTCTTCCTGATAGATAAACAGGTTTTTGTTTCTTAAGTGCAACTAACAGAGCATGCTTCACAGCCTCCTTCTTATAGCAGTCTGGAACGTAGTTGGGGCTTTGGAGTGTTAACACAATTCAAAAATTCTGTATTATTTCGGATTGCTTGGTCTGGAGGAGGGTGAGAGCAGACCTCATTGCCCTCTGCAACTGCCTGAAAAGAAGTGGCTTGGTCTTTTCTCCTGAGTAACAGTGATAGGGTTGTTTGTTTTTATTGTGAAAGCCCACAGTGCTGCATTCTCAAATGTGTCCTGCTGTGCTACTCAAGTTGCCACCTGTAGGCTTCCTCACCCACCTCCAGGCAGTGGGCTGCACTCCATCAGACGTTAAAGACAAGTGAAACTTTACAGCACCGGAGTTGTGACTGGTCACGTATCCATGTGCATATTTTTGTATACCAGTATATAGCTGTAAGGGGCTACGACGGTTTAAAAGTGCTGCGTCTCTCCCCTGTAGCGTGCTACTGTGTCTAATTAGCGCTCAACAACGCAACACAAACACATTTTTTTCGCACTCTGAACCATGGCTGGGTCAGTACTATGACCCTAAAGCTCACGAACACACGGCGGCCGCAGGCCCGCTCCCCGCCTTCGTTGCGGGCCGGGCTGCCTTCCGCTGGCGGGGCGGGGCGGCAGGTGGCGCGGCGGGGCCCTGGGGGCGGGTGCTGCTCCCGCTCCTCCTCCTCCGACCTCTTTCCGCTCCTCCTCCGCCGCCGCCTCGTAGTGCGGTGGCGGCGGGCAGGCTCCGGTCGCGGCCCCGCAGCTCCCCATCGAGGCCTGCGGTTGCCGGCCGGCTACGGCGCGATGTCGGGCGGCGCGGCGGGCGTTCCTAAGCCTCTCCCGTCCTCCGGGCCCAAATCGCTGCGGGAGATGCCGCATCCTCTGGCCACCTCCAGCAGCGAGGAGATGGGGCCGGCGCTCACCCCCAGCCCCGACCTGCTGCTGCCCCGCAGCATCGCCGACAAGGTACGGCACCGCCGAGAGGAGCGCCGGGGGGGGGCCCGAGCGGAGGGGGAAGGGCTGCACCTCTGCCTCCCCGCAACCCCTTCCCGGCTGCATCCCGGCTCCCCGCCGGGGAGCGAAGCAGGAGAGCCGCTGCCATGGGTGGCAGGTGGGTGCCGGGGCAGGGCTGTGCCCTCCCGGTGGCTGGAGCGGTGTCGGTCCTTCGCGTGGGGCTGCTCTGTGCTCCGTAGCAGAGCCTCCAACCGCTTCTTCCACACGGCGGCTGTGTGGAAGGATGCTGTCGCGTGAGTACCTCAGCCTGCCTTCTCTTTGCTTCCTAGCCCGTAGTGTGTGTCAGGAAGGGCTCTGTGAAGCGTGCCCGGCTGCGGATTCTGGGTGTGATGGTGGATGAGTCTGCCTCTGTTGGTGCTCATCTGCTAACAGCTCTCAAAGACAGAGTGTGTCTGTGAGCAGAGTTCCTGGAAAGCAGCAAGGCAGGATTTCCTGGGAACAGGCAGCAACTTTTTTGCTTTAAGCGTTTCTGTTGTTCCTACAAGATGTCACAGACCTGCTGGTCTCCCAGAGATATGAGTGCTTCCATGTGTGAAGTGAGATTTGTGGCAGTTGTCATTGACAGCTCCTTTTATGGGTCTTCTGGCCTCCCTGGGACACAGCAGAGGTCTGCAGCCACTTGGTTGACCGATGCCCATTCAACCTCATTCTTGAGCTGTATTGCAGAGATTTGAGTGTTCAGAGCTCAACCGTGCTCCTTTGTGGTTGCTGCTGAAAGGTCTCTGAGAAGTGTACCGCTGTCTCTGATAGCTGATCACAAACTGAGGCTGGAGAGGTATTTCTGCCCCCAGGCCAAATTCCTGCTCATCGGGAAGGTTTTTACCATTTTCTCCCCCAGCAGCACAGTGAAGTCCATCTTCTAGTAGCTTTGTGTAATATTGCATGTTCTGTGTGCTTGGAAGCATGGGCATGCTATAAAGGGAAGAGCAAAAAAGGGATGAGGTCTGTGCTTGACCTGGAAATGGCACCAGGGTAACGAGCCTTGTGGAATAAAAGGATTTCCAGTAGGAAGAGAGCAGCATTCTTTTTTTCTTTCTAGCTGAATTAGCAGAAAAAAGCCAAGTGCCTGATCCTTCCGATGGAAGGGGTCCAACTGATCTACTGTCTCTAAGCTGTCCCTTCTTCCACTTACATACTGGCAAGTGCTGGCAAGAAAAAAGATGAGTTGACTTCTTTGCCACTTCAGGAAGAACTCAGTGAGCAAACAAGCGTTCATGTTTTTAAGGCAGTAATGAACTTCAGCTGTCTGCACTTTGTGAGTAGTCTGTAGAATGACTGTTATAAGTAGAGGTAAATAGAGACTTCTGTGTGGTTGCAATATCTCTAATGCTGAATTGCTGGTGGTGGATCATTGGTCTTCCAAAAGGCGAGGCTAGCTCTCTTGTCCACTTCATGGAAGTGAAGTAAGCAGGTAAAAGAGAGAGGTCCATATTGAAGTGCAGCTCAAAATCTTTTCGCGCGCTCTTTATTGTTGCTGGAGTAGGAGCTATTCTCTTGGCTTTCTGTGGATCTTCTGGGGGAGTGGTGGAGTCTGGCACTGCAGGACATGAGTGGGTTGGTCTCTTTTGCTGAAGTGGCTCTGAGTCAGTAAGCTTCTGTTAGAAACACCCCAAAGCCATGCCTGTGTTAGGACAGTCCATAGAAGGGTAGCACAGCTGCTGACCCATCACCATGAACTGCATAACTTGCTTTTTCTGGATTCTTTTTATCTGCTCTGAGCAAACACTTCCTAAACGTTGCTGTGAGATAAAGGCCTCCTGCCCTGAGACTGGAATCCTGTCAGGAAAGTGCGGGAGTAAAGGAATTTGTCTGACTTTAAAGTAGTGCTTCAGTTTCCACCGCCACAGATGTGCAGCCTGAAGTGGTTGAATCTGTGCCATTGCAGCTTTGCATTCTTTAAAGCATGGTTTTCTTGCCTTTTTGGAGTGGATAAGTGAGGACGCTACTTTCTCCTGAGTCAGAGGAACTTGGAGGGCAGGAATATGGCCTGCATGTGTCCCTCTGTTTTTTGATTCAAACTTGGCAATAGGCTGGTAGCTTAGTCCTTGTCTGAGTTTGAAGTCTCATAAAATTTTAGTTTTCTTTTGAGAACATTGGCTAATCATCTTGAATCAGTTGGTCAGGGGAAGGGGAAGGAAATCCTTGTGTGTCATTTTCTGCAGCTTCTCTGGTTTGGAGCAGAGGACTACTGTGAATCTTATGAAGAGTGCTTCAGAATATTTATTGTCTGAAATAATGTCTTCATCTTGTAGGGAAGAAAGCTGTTTTAAGAGCCTGTAACTTCCTCATTAAGGTGGGCATATCTGGCTAAATACTCAGCATTTGTAGTGGTTCTGCAACAAAAATAAAATACTTGAGCTGCAGGCTTTTATCTCTGAAGTATTTCTGAGTTGGCCGATCTTTCTATAAAGCATTCTGTTCCCCTCAGGATAAACAGTGCTTCATGCAATTAGACTTGATGTCTGACCTCCATCAGCTTTTTCAGACTTTTTCTTCCCGTACCCTTGGCAGCCTCCAAACAAGGACACTGCTGAAGCTAAACCTAAGCAGTGCTGACCCCCTGATCTCAGGTGAGAGGGAAACATGCAGGAGGAAGCAATCCCTCGGAATATGTGGTGATGTCCTGAGAATTCTTAAAGCAAGCTTTTGAAAGGCCTGCGCACCCGCTAACTGAGGTGTGCTTTTCCAAGCAGATTCTCTGCTGAGGAAGGTAAGACCAGTGGGGAAGTGTCAGTGTGGATTTATCTTTTTTTTTTTTTTTTTTCTGGAGGAAAGAAAAGAAAGGGAAGTTCTGCTTGCATGTAGCTATGTGACTACTTCACCATTTTGTCACCTTCAGTAGTGAATCTACTGTACAGTCTAGGAAAAACACTGACTGTTAGGATAGAAGGTAGCATTAAGAGCTTGCTGGGTTTAGAGCAGAGGTGAGAAGTATGTGATATGCTGCTGTGTAATTGTACCCAAATTATTGTAGAATTATTATAAGAGTTGGGATCTAGCTCTGCTGGGGTTACACTGCTTTAATAGGCTGTTACTAAACATTGGAAGTGCCAGGCTGTTCAGAATTAGAAATAAAGTATTCTGTTTGGCTTACTCCTGCTGTCCTCCACTGTTGTTGTCTTTGCCATCTCTTTAGTCTAGTGTCATGAGAGCAGCTTCCTAATGGTGGCATTGGCCGTTCCTTCTATGGTCTGCTTTGAGACCAACAACTGCTGGACGAGGTCTGACTGCCAGGGCTGAGTTCTTGTCTTCTGCTCCAAAAGCTGTAGTGTTCCACCTGTGCTAGTGTCACAGTCCACTTGGATCTATCAAGTTTACAAGACAACGTATTCTGTACATTAAACTTTATTTTATAAGCTCATTTGGAGAGAAAACAAGCAGTGTCTTGGTCTGCTTCATACAGACTAGTCTAACGTGAAATCACAGATTTATCTCTTAATTCACGAGTTCTTTAACTGGTATCTTGTGACTTTCAGTTTCCTCACCTTTGAGAGGAATAGTTCCCTACTGACTGACAGCTCTCATCCTTCCTCCTCTGTCACGGTTCAGGCATAGCATCACAGTAGGAAGCTTCTGGTCCAGCTTTTGATGGATCCACCACAAAAACGTTTTGGGAGAGTTGCCCTATGTGGGAAATTTTGTTCTTTGCCATTTCCAAAGATTAGTGGATTCTGAAGAGACTGCTGGCAGTCAGTATGCAAGAATTGTGCCTGCAGGAGATTGTGAGTTGCAGATGATAATGGCTTCTATCTTTTCCTGTCCATCCTCTCTTACATACTTACATACCTGCTTTAATCGAATGGTGCTGCTCCCAGCATGCGTGAGGCCTCATTGTGAGCTGTGTTAGCTAAAATCTGAGCAGGACTTCAGTGGGGATTTGCTTGTCCTCTTTCAGAACCCTTGACTCCCTTCATAGTGCTTTGTGGCCTATAACCTGTGTAGCTTTTATTCTTTGAAGATATGTGTGACTTTTGGTTGCTTATATTAATACTAGGCAGATGAACTGAGCTTCAAGGCTGTTTTGTAGGGAGTGTATCAGGCAGTTTGCATGTGGATTACCAGATTTGCAATGCATAGCTAGAAATTTGCTAATGCATGGAGGAGGCAGCTAGAACTCCAAATGTCTGTGTGTGCTAACTGGAAACTATTGCTTGCATGTGACCCTTTGCTCATCTGATTCCAGCTACCACCCTGGTGAATGCTTAGGCCTGTATTAGCACCTGATTGAGTATAAATACTTGGTGCAGTTGCTGGAGTGTTTTTACTTAGCACTCATATTCTGGAAGGGAGCCTGGCAACTTCCCAGCAAAAAATATACTGAGAGTCTGGAGCTCTGCTTCCAGCTTCCTTGGTTGCTAGTTTAATTATTGCTCTTCATCCACCCACAAATGAAACCAGTTTGCAGTATAATCTGAAAGCTTAAAATAAATCTGCTTAACCTTCTACAAACTTCTTTCTTTTCTGACTAAATGAGAACTCTTAGACAAGTACCATGTACTTTTCTTAAAGTAGGCCTGAGGTAAATTTTCAGTCTTTAAAGAGACTGAGACTAGGAAAAAAAGTCAGGAACTGAAGCTGGTGAAGTCATGAAACTATGTCAGTGTGGGATGAATCAAGCCTGGTTCCAATCTATGGGAATATGAGATTCATATAGTAACTGAGAAAATAAGGTTTCCAATATTATCTTCTTCCCAGGGTTCAAGGTGAAGTCGACTGGCCTGTGGGTCCATTGATCAGCCTTCCTGAAGAAACAAGTGGTGTATTAGTTATTTCCCTTTCCCCTGCTCCTCAGTATTCAGGCGCCTCCCTTGGTCACCATCATAAAGATAAGATAATCCAAACTGACATTAGTGGCATTGGCCAGCTCCCTCAGCACGTATGAGTCTTTTTAATTTTTGCCTGTGGGTTTGTATCTGTCCAATTTGTTGAATTGTTTCCTAAGCTGATTTCCC